ACCCCCTCCAAGCCCCGGCACCCCTCCAGGCATCCGGGATCCCCTCCATGTGCCCCAGGCCCTTCTCTAGGGACCCCAGGATCCCTTCTGTGCCCTGACGGCCCGCAAGCACCTGAGACCCCTCCGTGCTCTCTGGAATCCCCTCCACACCCTGGCACCCCTCCAAGCGCCCGAGATGCCCTCCGTGTGACCCAGGACCTCCTCTGTCTGTCCCAGGATCCCTCTATGCCTTGATACCACTCCAAAAACCCCCTGACCCTCTACACCCTGACACCTCTGCAAGAGTCCAAGATCCCCTCCATGTGACCCAAGTCCCCCTCCCCACCCCCATCTTGATTTTTCTCCTGCTGCCAGAGACACTCTCCATCAGAGGTACCACTTCTGCCATGGCTGAGATCCCCCCAAATCCCTTCCACCTTGAGGTCTCCAACCATGTGCTGAGACAGCCTCTTTCATCCTGAGGGCACCCTGAGTTCTGAGGACCCCCAGAGATACTGAAATACTCCCATTTACCCTGAGGGTCTTCCAGACTCCCTGGGGTCCCTTTCCACCCTGACACCCCCCACCCCCACTCCCGCTCGGAGACCCCCTCCTGGGCTTGCCCAGCACTCCCACCCCCAGCATGTGCAGCCTGCACTTAGGAGCCCCTGCCCAGTGTCTCCAGCTATTCCCCCCACCCCTGCCCCGGAGAGCTGCTCCTTTGGGGGCTGTTTGACAGTCTTCGTGTTGCACATTAAAAGCTCAGCAATTCAGTACTGCATGGGGGCTTTGGTTACTTTTTTGGCTGGTTTGAGGCTTGTCTCCCTGCTCAGCAATTTTGCAAATGATGAAGGTATTTCCCAAATTCCTACCAGATCTCTCCTTCTCTCCTCCCCAGCTCCACTGGCTGAAATGTTTAGTCACTGTCATGCCCTTGGGTGTGGCTTGCAAGGTGGAGGAAACCAGGATCACCCAGGGAAGTGAAAAGAAAAAAAAACAAAACAAACAGCTTCCTGGGCTATATCCCAGAGCTGTGAAATCCAAAGGGAGAGGAGAGAATCTGTTTGCAACAAGCTTCCCAGTAATTCTAAGGCTGGAGCCACTGGCCAGGCACGAGGTGAGCACCAACTCCCTGGGGTCCCGTGGCCTCCCACATCGGCCTCTGTGCGAAGCCTCTGGGCCCACTTCCCGAATGGCAGAGACAGGGCCAGTGAGGCAGTGTCCCTGGGCAAGTTACAGGGGTTGGTATCTCCACAACCAGGGCAATGCTCTTCTTGACTTCTTGGCATGAAAGTGAGTTGGAAGCAGTGGGGTCCAAAGGCAGGTTGGTTTTGATTAAGGCTAAATGAAGGTTCTGCCTCTCTTTTTGAAAATTATTCTCTATTCACAGACTAGAGCAGTCTTGTGTGTTCGCTTTTATATACTGACTAGAAGTGCCCATGAGAGCTTTTCAGTCACCTGGGGCAGACTCACTTTCCAGCCTCTCCAGGTTTTGCCACCCTGGTTCCTCAGACTTTTAAGGCAGTGAGTCAAACTGAACCTTAGCCAGAAACCCATCCCCAGTGGTTATTTTTACCTTTTACAGGACTAATGTGTTATTTAAAAACCTTCCCTTGAACCCAAGTGACAACTGAGAAGAAAGGCTATTGCCTGGTGAATTTGCTCCACCAACTGGTTCTCAATGGTTTTGAAACTGAGCAGGACTCTGTGGGGCCTTCTTCGTGGACCCCTCGTGTTCCCATCCTCTGGTTTATGGAAAACCATTAGCCTCCTAGATGTTCCTCAAGTTCCAAAGAGCAAATTTAATCAGAGAAGTGAGAAGGTGCAGAAACGAAGGAAAAGAGCCAAGCAAGACAAAATAATAATACTTCAGTCATCAAACAAAATTAAGGACCTTTAGTTCCTCCTCAGGGGCTATAGATAATATTCTTTGAGTTGTTTTGCAGATACTAAGCCCCCGCCAGGTGAAAAAAGTTAACAGCATGCTGACCTCAAGCATGTAGACCCTGGACCATTTGGAACCAGAAGGTTGATGATGGAGATTTCCACATCACCCTATCACCTCACTATCAACCTACCAGAAGTATGTACATGAGATGACCACTCACCCCGTGACCCCCCTTCCTCACCTTAACTGTAAAAATCTTCCCCTGAAAGCCATCAAGGAGTTGGGATCTTTTGAAGATGAGCTGCCCGTTCTCCTTGCCTTGCCCCACATTGGGCACCTTGCAGTAAACGCTGCACTTTTCTTTGCCACAACCTGGTGTCAGTAGATTGGCTTTACCGCCCTCAGCCAAGTAGACTCGTTTGATTTGGTAACAGTTTGAGATATTAACTTGAAACTGTACAGGTCAGCACTGAGAAGGAATTAGCAAACCAAGTGTTTAAATATCCTGATTGCAAATAAACGCATTTGCCTATCCCCACAATTATAAATTGCGAAAACGAGGCAGCAATTACATCGAAACACACGACGGAGAGGGAGAACAGGCCGAACACCCCATCTTCAGCTCTGCTGCCCAGGTTACAGGGTAGTTTAGGGTCATCAAGGGAAGTGGGGCTTATGTTTCAGAAAGAGGCTGGTGCTTCTCATCACTTATCTACTATCTAGGTCCGTTCGAGCTGCTATCCCAAAATGCTGCAGACCAGGTGGCTTACAAACAATAGAAATTTATTTCTCACAGTTCTGGAGGCTGGGAGTCCAAGATCAGGGTACCAGCATGGTCAGGTGAGAGCCCTCTTTGGGACTCATAGCCCGTACCTTTTTGCTGTGTTCTCACATGTTAGAAGAGGTGAGCGATTTCTTTCAAGCCTTTTTAAAGGCACTAATCTGACTTACGAGGGCTCCCCCTTCATGACTTTGGGACCCTCTGCCAAAGGTCCCACCTTCTAATACTATCATATTTGGGGGTTAGGATTTCAACATGTGAATTTGGGGGGAACACAAACATTCAGATCATAGCACCTTCTGTTTTTAGTTTCTCTCTTCCCTACCCTTGACCCCCCAGATTGAAGAGATACCCTCACAGATCCGTTCCGTTTCTGTTCTGTCCATGCATGGGAATGGGACTGATAAACTCTTCTATGGGGCTTCAGAGCCAAGAAACAAAGAGAGGAAATAAAAGGAGGACAAATGACAGTTCACTGTAAGGGCAAGGAATGTAATTAGCATGGTGGTTGACAGCTCAGGCTCAGGTGGAAAGGCCTGTTTGGAACCCTCTCTCAGCCACATTTACAAGCTGTGTGACCTGAGCAAGTCACTTCATCTCTCTGAGCCTGACTTCTCTCATCTGTAAAACAAGGCTGTCACATCTGGTTGTTGTGATGACTAAATCAAGTGTTACTCATGAGCAGTGTGTAACATTCCATGAAGACCTAAGGATCTGATGCATGCCTAACAGCAATGGCTAAAAGTCAGAAAAATAGCTACCCAGTAATGGATTGGATGACCTTGTAAGGTAGTGAGGGCTGTGTAACCAGAAGGATTCAAGGAAAAGCAAGGCTGCTACCTCTTAGGAAGCCGGATTGGAAGGAGGATTTCTGCATCCATTAAGAGGCCAGCTGAGATGAATTCTGTGATGCCAGCTCTTGCGGGGAGGGGATCCAAGATGAAGGAAAGACTGTCAGCCTTAAGGGCAGGCATCTGGTTCTTGGCACAGAACCGGATATGTGCCACCCAACCCGCCCACGGGACCCCACTCGGCCCCTGGAGGCTATTTTTACTCCTCGCCTTTTCCAGATCTATTTTGTTAATCTCCTTATATTTGCTGTTTTGACTTCCCAGCCAGCTTGCTAATCAGTTTGCCTGTTTGACTCACAGGGTTTGCATTTGTCACTGAGACTTAAACACACGCTTGTTTTGATTTCTTTTTGTAAAATTAGAAGCGTTTGATGTAATGACTCTACCTAGACACAGCTGGTAAAGTGAGAATAATGCTCAAGTTTGCATAGTTTAAACACAATGTAGACAATAATTAGAAATGCTATCTTTAGATGTTTAGGATAAGCTTTTTCTCAGAATTGCAGTCAATTTTTTTTTCCAAATAGGGCTTTTCAGTGCATATATATACAGAAATACTAAAAACGTAAGAAAATAGAGCAAATCAGTGAGTGCTTTGGTCAACTTGAAAGCCTGCAGGAAATAAACCCACTGATTTGAGATCTGGCGCTTTTGACTGAATGCATAAAACCTTTACATTCTCCGTCTTTTTCATGACTACCATATGATCTAATAATTTTAGGTGACAGATTGCAAGTGATAAGTTGCTACAATATGCTAGAAGCTACGCTCAGCCTGGGCTTGGCCTTCGGTGAGGGGGGAGGAGGGAATGATGCAAATAATAAAGAGAATTCATCATCTATATCAGGAAAATTACATTTTAATTTCAGGGAACAGAAAAGGTATAGTTATGATACGTGATGGTCTTATACTCCAGTAAAGCAAGGTCTACAACTGAGTAGAAGTTACTTCTTTTTTTAAATCAAACTATAAAACAGCAGTCGTTTGCTTTTTTTTCCCCCAAAGTCAATTGTTTTAAATTTAATAGGCTATCTCTGGCCTCCACTAAGATCCCAAAATATATTCCTGGGTTCATATAGATTCCAGAAAGTCATGCTTGCCAGTATTATGCAAACTTTCCCTACGCATCCAAAAAAAACAAAAGGGCCTCGTTTAGTAGAGAGGTGATATGAAACGTAAGGCAGCACATCTCTATCTATCATTTTAAATTGCCTTCATGCTTTATCAACTTGTTCGGCTTTGTATTCGTGAGCAACTGTAACATCGGGAGACGGGGCCTCCTTACTTTTCTGCTTCTCGTTTCTAATTAGATTCACTGCTGAGCTCTCTACCGCATCTCTCTGATCTGCAAATTCTTCTCTGTTCAGAACGACATCTGGAAAACAAAGAATGTATTAAAGTAGTGAGTTGAGGGGCATCCTTTGGCTTTTTGACATCCTAACTGAGCCGTGTGAAGGGAAGTTACCCTCAGTATTATTAAGGAGGGAGATTGTCTCAAATGGAGGCTTCCAGAGTGAAAGCAGAGGGCAGAGAGGGAAGGTGCTCACATAGAGATCTTTTTCAAGGAGAAATAAAGTACCAAGATCCAGCCAGGAAAGAGCTGCAGCCTTTTGGAGGAGCAGAAAACCGAGAGAAGCAAAGGCTTGCTGTAATTCGAAAGGGACAGAAAAGATAACCCCAGTGACGAAGTAGCTGGTCTTCGAAATTCTTTCAGGAGAAGACTGGACCTCTTTCTGGAACAATTCACATGGCGAACTGGGGTGCAAAGGTTCCAGGAGGAATAACACACCCCAAAATTCACTCCGACACATGAATGACTGGTACCAGAACCCTTTTTTTAGAACTTCACTTCGTGATGATGGCGTGTGTTTGGGAATGGGGGCACAGAAAGAGGAACAATGACAGGAAAACAGATTTAGCCTATTTAAGATTGCTAACGGGGAGGAGGTTCCAGGAGGGACTGAGCTGAACGCCACCTGGGACCTCCTAGCTAGAGAGGCTTCAGGAATCACTGTTCCAGGAGAAGAAAGGGGGAGGGGGAGAGGAAGGCAGGTAGAGGAGGCACAGCAAGAAGAGTTAGGGACGAGAAATGCCTGCTTTACAGAAACCAGTCCATTTCCACCAGCCTTAATTAAAAGAACGACAAACACTCATATGTAAAAATCCACACCTACAGGCTCTCAGGTACAGAGCGATCACAAGAAGTGCAGTGTGTGCAAACAAGCTTTCATTAAGAGACCTGTCAGCTCTGTTTCATTTATCCTGACTGTTCTGCATTCTGCTGGCAACTGAGCTGGAAAAGTAATGGAAGGACCGACCCACTTGAAGAGGTAAACACAGGAGGGAATACTCCAGCTACAAAACAGGATGGATGCTAAAGAAGCCAGGGAAATGGAGAGATGAGATGGTATTTTTCTTAACAAACAACAAACAACAATTGCCCCTCCCTCCAACTCCACTCTCCTCAGTAGCATGATATTCTGACTTTTCAAAGAAACAAGAAAACAAAACAAGAACAGACATGTGGGGGGCGGAGACAATGCTGTTGGTGGCCTTCTCAAACCTACTCCCAACTCCCTACACACAAAGACCTGACTTTGTTTTAGTGTTCACCCTTTTAGAGTCTGCATCTCCAGGGACAGGACCCCTGCCCAGTTCAGAGGGTGATCTTGATGAACGTAAACCCATAACAGTAACAATTCCATCTTCCTTACTAAGGATTGTTTTAGACACAGGCGTGTGACATGGTCACATAGGCATGTGGCAATTCTGATCAATGAAATGTGACAAGAACTGGGTTACCTGCTTTTAAAATACACACAAACACACACACACACATACACGGTGAGAAACTTCCTTCTGCCTGTGGACAAGATGTGTGAACAGGTGATGGCTGGAGCTGTTGCAGCCAACTTGTTAGCACGAGAGAATAGCTGACACTGAGGCAGCAGAGCAGGAAGACCAGATCCTTGATAACTTACTTGAATGAACCAGCCCTGGAATGCCCTACTTTTGAGAGTTATCTGGTAGAGTAGGGGACAGAATAAAGCACACTTCCACAATGACTCTTAAAAAGACAAATGACAACCATAAGTAATTGCTGAAACTCTTTTTAATGTCTGTGGAACAGAAGAATCATGTTGGGTTAGGATAGCAGAGGTGGGACAGTGTCAGATCTGTGTATGGGGCGTGGTCAAGGTTACAAATGTGACTGGATCAACTTATTGGCTCCAATTCCACCTAATAACAGAAGACCTCCCCCTCCCAGGCTGACTGAACACACAGAATTTAGGTTATCGCTCCCTATGACCCCCTGCCCTAAGCCCCAGGCTCTGGGACTTCCTGCAGTTTTCTTGCCCATGATGGAATGTGTTGAAGTTTACTACAAGCCCTGCTTTCCAGAAGGTGTTGAATGGGCCCTCAAGACGGACACCTGGCCAACTATGTGTCAAAACCAAGGCTTCTGTAGGGAGAGATTTTTCTTTTTATTATTATTGTATTCAATCTGGCTGTGTTTGCCTTTGGTGGCTCTGGCATCGTATGCAGTAGTGCTGAACATTTGCAGAGAATTTAGGCCTGGTGCAGCAGGAAAATTATTTCCATGGCTGCTGGCCGGGGCAAGCTTTGCAGCTGCAGAAGTGACCTTCCTGGACAGAAGCGACCTTCTTGGGTCTGGGGAAGGGGAGAGGCTGGAGCACAGAGGGATGAATGGGGCACTGGGGCCTGGCGGGCAGGGGCCGATGTGTGTCCAGCTCACCAGGGGCCAGAGTGCACAGACGCGGGTGTGCCCACGTTCCGCCAGTGGGGGTGACCTCTAGTGAGCGGGAAGAAATCAGCTGGAGGTCCACCCAGGGTGCTTCTGGCAAGGCATGGGACCTTCTGGTCTGCACCTTGCCCTCCTTCAGAGCGAGACAGCAGGTGTGACAGGTCCTGCCCTGCTGTCAGAGCGATGCCAGGAGATGACATGTGGCAGGGAAGTGGTGGGGGGGGGGTGGCTGGCCACCTGCATGTGGGATTCACACCTGAGATCACAAGCCTAGTCTAAACAGCCAATTTTTAGGATGAATTGCTGAATTTTCTACCTCTCCCACCTCGGGAGCTTCTCTTTTCCCTGCAGGAGAGTCTCTCAAAGGAGTGATTCTGGTTCTCAGGGGCGTTTCAAACTTTGGGATCTGATATTAGTTCTTTCTGGGGAAATGAACTGAGTTCAGCACAAAGAAAGGTCAGTCGTTTGATGAGCCTTCAATGTACTGCAGTGCCAGATGCTGCCTAGAAAAGCTAATTTTATCCCCAAGAAAAGAAGCAGGTAGGGGTGACCACTCTTTGCTTTCCTGCTCTTGGAGCTTGAACTTGGTTCCACAGTCCCCTCCCCAGGCTGACGAGGTTACTTTGTTTTCTCCTTTCTTTCCACTCTAGGGCCATGAGCTCTGTCTTTATTTATTTGTTTGTTTGTTTGTTTGTTTGTTTGTTTGTTTGTTTATTTATTTATTTATTTAATTTTTGGTAATGCCTTTTTTTTTTCAAGTTTTTTTTTTTAATGGAGATTCTGGGGATTGAAACCAGGACCTCGTGCATGCTAAGCATGAGCTCTACTGCTGAGCTACAGCCTCCCCAGTGCCTTGTCTTTAAAACCCCAGTACCTGGTGCTCCAGAGGAGGCAGCCACAGTGCTCTGTCAGAGTGATGGGTGGTGGGGGAAACTGGCTTGGCCCTAAGCAGCTGGATTGGCTTCAACCCCACATGACCATAGAATCCTATACCAGCCCAGGCTGAGCGGAGAGAACCAGCACTTCCAGGTTCTGCTCTCATCTCAGAAACAAAAAATCAAACACCACTGGAGTCCCCATCCTCCCTGCTTATCCACAACGCCCCCATCACTCCAGGTCGATTAATCCTCTAGAATTACAGGCTGGAAAACTCAGCTCTCGCAGTCAGCAAACGGGTCTCCACAGGGGCTGTGGATTTCAAACCGGAAGCCTAACCTTCTGAGCCCACTTAAGCCCCTTTCCACCTGCCAGTCGCTGCCACGACAGACAGTGCTGCAGGCAGGCTGACAAGAACACCCACGCTGGGAGGCCCAACTGGCCCTGACATGATGGAGTGGAGCGGGGCGCCCTCTGGACCCATTATGCTCAATTACACCTTTCTCTACATTACAAAGACAGGGATCTGATTAAAAACCCCATCCCTTTCAAGCTCTTCCTATAATTTTGATCGACAACTTTAAATGCTAATAGAAAAACAGCTTATGTCTAATAAAACAAATGCTGACAGAAAGATGGATGCCAAAAACCAGCCATATGGCCGACCCTATTCCGTGCCTGGCCATGTTCACAGCAGCGCATCTTCAGCAGAAAGAGATGACACTGAGAAGCTTGAGGACCCGCATTTAATAAATCAGACTGTGGTGGCATCATCAGAATATTCGCAGTTTGCGACAGGATCTGTGTCCTCCTCACTTGCAGGCTTGGGGGTGTTTTAGGAGAAAGAGACTTCGGTGAACTGTTCTGAGGTTTAGTTCTTTACCGTCCCCAGTGCTGTCAACGTGTCATCACGCCCGATCTCTTTCCCCTTCATGTTTTCGTGGTGTTCCTTGTGCTTCCAACCTCTGGGGTCTCCTTGCCATCTTCCGGGGGGGACGCTTCGGCGACTGGCTGGCTGGACTCAGAGGAGTTGTGGCAAGATTTGGGGCATGCCCCGTTGGCAGCTAAGCCAGGCAGAGGTGGCCCCATCTCGTCCCTCTGACCCTGCAGGGGGCTCTCTCTTCCAACCCCTGCTGGTCCTGTAGGCTCCTGCTCCTCTGTCAGTTTCACAATTTCCCCTCCAGGCCTGTTTACTTGTTCTCCCTCAGAAGGTAGCTGGGCTAATGAGGCAAGAAAGTGTTTGCGTTGGTTCCTGGGGCTCTGATTTGCTGGGGAGCTGAGAGCGGGCCTCCCAGCATCCTCCCACGCTGTCGACACCTCGGCAGTCACGTGACTTTTGTCTTGTTCTTGCTTCCAAACCTCCCCTGAAACAGACCGGGGACAGCATCAAACCTTCTGCTGGAAGCCAGCCCTCACCTCCCATCTCCATCCAACCTCTGGCCCACTGTCGCGGGGCCTCTGGGATAGAAAATGCTGTTGAAGGGAACACAGGACCCACAGAAAAGAAAGTAGCCACTCTGGTGATTACTGTGTCATTAATGGAGGGAAGGGGAGTATGTGGGCCATGTCCATAACCCATCCTTTGCGGGCACCTGGTTATCTCCTCCTTCGCTCCCTGATGATGGCTCGTGCCCATTAAGTATTTAAACTGAGGACAAAGGTTTCATAGGTTCTGTAGCTCAGGGGAGACCTTTAGTAATGAAAAGAGGTTCTGGCTGCTTTCAGTGCAGGGAACAGAAGGAGCAGTTTGGGAGGGACTGAGTGCCCCACCTCCCAATCTCCATCAGCACCTCATTCTATGATGCAGACTGCTGGTGCTTCCTCAGTTTCAATAAAATGTCACATGCAAAAGCAGCTTCAAGCCCTCTCCCCCTCCCCACTAAGTTGTTCTTTCTAAATGTGTATAAGAGAAATTCTTCAGCTGTAACTGGAGGGGATGGGAGAGGATGCGGGGCCCTCAGAGCCAGAATCTAGCCCCCATTTTCCTATTTTCTTGCTTTGTGATCAGGAGGACCTGCCTGGCCTCCTTTCCTCAGATACAAAATGAGAGACAGGGCTGTCTGATGTCCCTTCCAGACCTAATAAGCAACAGTGGTTCTGCACAACTGGGAGGTATTCGGGGAGTGAATCCTTAGCGCATTCAGCACCAGACCTAAGGTTCCCAAGATTTTCTTAGTCCTTAGGCCGAACAGTGAAGAAATGTGTGGAAGAGTCTTGCTGGGCTGATTTCAGCCTGGGTGAGGGGCTCCAGGGGTGAGGGGGCCCGGGAACACTTCCTGGTTCCTCCGACGGAACCAGGGTAGAACCCACTGCCATCAGGCCTGTATCAGATACATGCAGGTGTGCTTTCAGGCCAAAAGCTGGGACTGGGCAGGGGGGCTAATGGATAACTGTAGAAGGTTTGGAAGGAAGTTGATCTGTTCTGACCATGCATCCATTTATTAAATTAAATAACTGGATGCATTTTAAAGCATTTGTTTACCTAATCAAGTGTTTAAAAGCCTTAAGAAACTTAAACAAGGCTGAACCCTGGCAAAAACTCTGAGAAACTCTAGAAGACATGAGATATGAGTGAGATCAGATGGATCATGAGACTGAAATGAAACAGCTAAGATGAAGAAGGGGTGGACAGCAATGAAGGAAGAGAAGACGCTTGTAGACAGAGTGGTGGGTGTGACAACCGACAGGCTGGTCACTGGGGAAGGGGACCGCGGGAGCTCAGCCAGGCAGAACTTGACCCTCACACCCCAGTCCTCTAGTTCTTCTGATATCTTTTTGCTTCTCACATTCAAAAGAAGCTGTTTTCTTTCTCTTTAGCCTTTTTGATGACCATAGAAATTCCCCAGGGACAGAAATTCGACCCAATCTTTTATACACTTGAAAGCCTGTGTTTAGTCACGGACAACTATGTTATTACTCTCCTAAGAACTCGCTGGCCTCAGTAAGTGTCACACCTGAAAATAAGACCATTACTCATGTTTACAGTGACATTTGTGAATGTATAAATGAGTGAATAAAGCAAGCCTTGATTTTTAAAAAAATAACCGTTCAGATCTGTTCAGCCAGGATAACGTGGGCTGGTTCCTGACAGGTTCCTTTGCTGATAGTCTCCTCTTGCTGTCATCCAACCTGTCAGGAGAGGGGCCTTCCCTAAAGCTTTGCTACTCAAAGTAGGGTCCGAGGACCACCATTGGCAGCCTCATCTGGGAGCCCATTAGACAGGCAGGGTCTTGGGCCCTACCCCAGACCTACTGGCTCAGAAGATGCATTTTGATAAGATCTCAGGTGACGCGGGTGCACATTACGGTGCAAGAAGCACTAGCACTGAAACACGTCCAGCCACGCGCTCCCCTCCTTGGCTCTAAAACCTTCAAAGGCTGCCCCTGCCCTAGCAACAAAGCCCAAGCTCTTCTCCTGACAGTCGAGGCTTTCAGTGACCCAACATCCATCTACCTGCCACGCCAACTCCCCTTCCATCCCTACACTCCAGCCACACTGAACCCTCCAGGGCATGCAGCCCTGCCTTCTGCACCTTTGCTTTGGTGGCTGATTCTTCCATGACTCTCATTCCTTGATGCATCCAGATGACCAACCTCAAAAGTGAGCTTGATCTTCCTTCATGAAGCCTATTTGATTTAATCTGCCGGGAAGTACTCTCCCCACTGTCTGAATCCCCACAAGGTTGTGTCTGGAACTCTAAGGGAACTTCATACTTTTTACTTTTTTACCTTTCCATTGTTACTTATGTATAATTAGCTTATAAAAACCACCTGAAGTATAAAATCTCATCTGATTAATTTGTTAACGTTGCCAGTGTTTTATGGTGGGGGGTGCAATAAGTAGCTTATTAAATGTTTGAATCTACAGACATACACATGGATGCGTGAATAAATGAATATAGGAGTACATATATTTAAATATCACCCATTAATAAATGGAAGCGATCCTCGAATTCGTTTGCTCCAGGTTGCATTCAGGTTGCTACCCTAAAAGTTCTTAAAATGGCACTTGCAGAAAAAAAGAGATTTCTAACTCACACAAACGTTTAGCTACATCTGAGGTCACACAGAGAAACAATCACATCATTTTCATGCTAACAAATGACAAATGTTATAGTGGTTGTGCAGGAGACATGGGAAGCACCGAGTCAAAATGAGCAAGTTTCCGGCATCGTGCAAGAAGCTTTATTCAAAAGGAGTAAATTATGGTCCTTTCCGTGGCTGAATTTTTCACCAACGTGAGATGAATAAACTCCTTCTGGAAATTACTCTTATGAAATTACTTCTTCCAGGACACTTAATAGTATATTCTGGTGCCCCTGAAAAATTAATTAACCTTATCCGTAACAACCTAACCCCTAAACCATTTGCAGTGTTTTCACTGTGGGTCAGGTCAATCTTCTGTACCTTAATTTACATCTAAGGGAAGGTGGTCTCATTACACCAGGGCCTTTTGGTCGCCAGTCCTTTGCCTTGTGCCATTTCTTTAGATGACATTCCGCTCATGTCCAGACGCATGAATCTTTTTTAAAATGGCAAACCTCTGAGATTACCAGCGAGAACTTCTCAACTTTTTGGGGGTTGGGGGGAGAGCAACACCACTGTCATCATCATAAGTGCAGACACAGCTGCCGTAAGAGGATGGACAGGGCTGTAACTCTCTTGTTTGGTCCTATCTGGGTTTTCTCTGAGAAAGCCTAGATTTTCAGTCTCAAGGCTACAAAGCTGTAGGGGCCAGGCTGAGACTGGATTACGGGTCAACACCAGGATTTACCAATCTTCTTCTCCCTTTTGTTTATCCAGAAGATATCTAAACAGTATATTCAAGTCACTCTCAGACAACAAAGAAAAGTTACTGAAGATACTTTGACTGTTGCTCTTGGAACTAGGACCTCTGGATACTTGCTGTGGGAGCAAAATTTTACTTTAACTCTCTGATTCTGTTGACTCTTAAGCTGTGGGAGTTTTATTTTTCCTTTGAGAACAGACGCATAGTATTGCTATTTCCAAAAAGAAAGATTTCTGAATTAGCTCAGAACAGGAAAACATTATTACCCCCAATAGTAATTATTCTGTGCTGTTTTAGCAAACAGAATTAGTATCATTAATACTTATTAATAACAATACACACATCAATAATGATGAAGCAATCAGCCAGTACAAATGCATTAGCACACAAACAGTGCGGAAAGGAAAGACATTTTCTCTAGAAGATGAAGAAACAGTAGCTCTTCGTAGAAAAGATTGCTAGTCTCCTAAAAATGGGTCCTCCCCCACCCACTGGCCCAAAGGGCACATTCATCTTAACTGGTCTCTGACGGCTTTGTCCTCCCGAGTGTGAGCTGATTTCAGTCGGAATTAATCAGAGACGCAGCGGTGATGAGGCCACCCTAGATACCGACAGCAGCTACATAAGTGCTTCCTTGTTGCCACCCGAGCTGGCGAAGGATGGGGTTGGAACAATGAGAGCTAATGATGGAACTCTGGAAGCTATCATTTTGAATCAGGCCATTACTTACGCCACCCTTGTGAAAATCAAGCCAGGCTCAGATTCCATGTCACGTTAGAAGGCGCGGGACCTCCGGGGACTCAGTGAGCCCAGAGAAGGCAGAGGGCTTTGGATCTCCACGGGGACACTGGATGTTTGCAGGGGATGAACACCAGCCAAGTCATGTCCCAGACTGCACAGCGGGCCATGGCGCGTTACAGGCCAGCCTCGCAGTCAGCCACATGCTACTGGCTGGAAAGGCCCAGCCTGATCTTCCGGCCAGTGTGGAAAGCACCGAGTCAGGAGCTCTCTCCAGGAATTCTCCTCGTGTGTTCTTGGGGAACCTCTCTGGTGAAATCCCAGACTTGTCCTGGCTTCTCCTCTTACCATTCTGTGCACTAATCTGTGTGATCTGGATAGGTTTCAAAACACAGCTGTACCGCAGCATGAGTGAGCCTTGCTGAACCCAGCTCAGACTAGCAGTCTGATTCAAAGCCTCATGATAAATAATACATAGCTGTTGCCTTAAGTTCTAAGTTTGGGGGTGATTTGTTACATAATTGCTAACAAGAGACAGATGGAAGCCACCAGAGATTTGTGAGCAGAGCACAAGCATGATGGAAAGCTGCACTCTAGGAGCTTCGCCCTGCAGCAGCAGGATGAAGATAGGATGAAGCCTGGAGATTCTGGGAGGCAGGAAAACCTCGAAACTTAGCAGCTTAAGACCCAGGAGCCTGGGAGCAGTTTATCTGGGTGGTTCTTGCTGGTGGTCTCTAATGTGGTTGTCATTAAAATGTTAACCAGTGTAGTCATCATCTGAAGGCTTGACTGGGGCTGGAGAATCTGCCTCCAACATGGCTCACTCACGTGGCTGATGGCTGGAGGCCTCAGCTCCGGACCACGTGAAGAGCACGTAGGGCTGCTCAAGTCCCTTCAAGACATGGCAGCCAGCTTCCTCCAGAGTGATCCAGGACAGAGCAAGGCAGATGCCACGTCTTTTATAACCTAGCTCAGAAGTCACACACCATCACTTCTGCCATAATCTATTCATCGCCCAGACCAACCCTGATACAAGGTGGGAGAGGATGACACCAGGGCACAAATACCAGGAAGTGGAGCTCATTTGGGGCCATCTTGGGAGCTGACAACCACACTGTGGGTGGAGAAGGAAGGCGAGCAAAACCAAGATGTGAAGGACAGTTTAGTGGGGGAAACAAGGCTGCCACCTAGGAGGAGATCTGGTTCTTCCCCCTGTTGTTTCATCTGGCACCCTAAATGGGGCCTTGATCCCCTTCAAAACACACTGCCTCCAGAAAGTGTGCCTGCCAGAGAAGCTTTTTCCCTCCAGTCAACTGAGTCCTGGACCACTTACCATGTGCCAGGCAATGTGTCAAGACTTCCCTGTGGTTGGCACCATCACCTCACCATCTTGTAGGTAAGGAAACTGAGCTAAGTTTACTAGTCCAAGTTCTCACAGCCAGTATGACGTGGGGCTGGAATATGAACCCAGTGGTTCAAATCCTGAGCCCTTGCTCTTTTCTTTAAGTATAGTTGATTTACACCGTTGTGTTAGTGTCTGGTGTATAGCACAGTGATTCAGTTATACATATATGTATATATATTCTTTTTTCATATTCTTTTTCATTGTTGGTTATTACAATATATTAAATACAGGTCCCTGTGCTATATAGTAGGACTTTGTTGTTTGTCTATTCTGTATATAGTAGTTTGTATCTGCTAATCCCAAACTCCCAATTTATCCTCCCACCTCTTTCCTTTTTGGTAACCATAAGTTTGTTTTCTGTGTCTGTGAGTCTCTTTCTGTTTCTTTCTTTTTTTTTTTTTAAACTCAGATTTTTTTAAAAATTATTTTTTACTTTTTTATTTTGGGGGGAGGTAAATTTATTTATTAATGGAGGTACTGAGGATTGAACCCAGGACCCCATGCATGCTGGGCATGCACTCTTCCATTGAGCTAAACCCTCTCCTCTCTTTCTGTTTTTTAAATAAGTTCATTTGTGTTATTTTTTCTTCAGATTCCACATATAAGCGATATCATATAGTATTTTTCTTTCTCTGTCTGACTTCACTTAGTATGATAAACTCTAGGTCCATTCATGTTGCTGCACATGGCATTATGTCATTCTTTTTTGTGGCTGAGTAGTACTCCATTGCATATATATACCACATCTTCTTTATCCAGTCATCTGTCGCTGGACATCTAGGTTGCTTCCATGTCTTAGCTATTGTAAATAGTACCACTATGAACATTGGGATGCATGTATCTTTTCGAATTGGAGTTTTCCCTGGATATATGCTCAGGAGTGGGATTGCTGGATCATAGGGTAAGTCTATTTTTAGTTTTCTTAGGAACCTCCATACTGTTTTCCATAGTGGGTGCACCAAATTATATTCCCACTAACAGTGCAGGAGGGTCTAAGCCCTCACTTGTAACCTCTGTGCCACCACACCGAGAGTGCAGGGGCCCATGTTCTTCTGCCAGAAGCTCCAAGCAAGACAAACCCATGTACGCAATAAGGGGAAACATGAGGTACCGCAGAAGCCGTGGGAAGGGGAAGGACTGATGTCCGCTGAGCCCCTGTGCCAGGCACAGTCCAGCCAAAGAGCGAGAAATCAAGGTCTGCTTACCGTCCTTGGGACTCGCTTTGTTCTCAGCGGGCTGCTCCACGAACTTCAGCAGCGGGGATCTCGACCTCTGCATGGTGGGAAAAGTGGGGTCGCCGAACAGTATGGTGTCCTTGCCCCCTGTTACAGAAAAGGGGAAAATGGAAATATTATGTCACCAGTGGAATCGTGGTCACATTCACCCCTACACAAGAGGCTGGCTGTCTGGGTGACAGGGCACCTTCCTCAAACATAGGGAGTGCTGGGGAAGGGAAACAGCTGGCAGGCCCTTTCTGCAGGGTGAGGTCAGGGCAGTGAGGTCCAGGGCCAGCTGTCTGTGAATCCTAGAGTCCGCTCAGGACATGGCTGCCCACAAGTGCCACCAGTAAGGGGCCGCCTGCTATGTCTGCTGAAATTTGGGTGGCTCTGATTTGGGTGTGACAATAGCAATCCCAACAGCAGTGGAGCTTCGAGGGCCATGCTGTCCTGTTTGGGTTCTGGACCCCATCGCTTGCTAGCTGGGTGGCCTCCGGCAAGTCACTCTGAGCCTCAGAGCCCTCGTCTGTAAAATGAGGAATAACAGCGCCCACTACGCGGGAGGGCGGTGAGAAAGTGAACGGGTCCACATAAAGCTCGGAGACATCACGTCAGCACTCAATAGATGTCACGTGTTGAAATGACTACTTTAGAGTGTAGACAGAACTGCCGTACACAGCAGGTCTGATTTAATTCCATGTGGTCACTTAAACTGAGTAATAACTGTCATAAAGCAGGTAGTATCAGATTCCCCAAATGATAACAGCGAAACTCTACTTAGAACACAGAGGTGCACACCAGGCAAACGCTTTTATCGATTCATATGAACTCCCAAAGGGGAGAGAGACCGTTTGAGGCAAAGAGAAGGAAAAGGAAAACCATCACAACTCTGTTTTCAAGGCCATGGCGAGTCATGGAGGTGAGGAGCAGGGAGGTGTGGCTTTGAAGCGTGAGCTTGGCGAACACAGACACACAGACACAAAACACGAGCACATGAGGTGATGCTGCCCCAGTGGTCAGGAGGGCCCCACACGCAGGATTTGATCCCAAACCCCTGCCAACGAGCCCCGGGCATTCTCTCAGTGGGAACCACCATGCCAACAGCGAAAAGCCCAGGGGCCGTGGCCCAGCCCACGCTCCAGGCTCAGCTGTCTGACTTTGGGTGAGACCTTATCTGAAGCCAAGTCACTGAATGTCTCTGGGGCTCAGATCAGAAGCTCTAAAGTTCTATGAGTCTGCTCGGTTTCAGGGTTGCCAGAGCACAGAATGGTATTTGGGTAAAGATGTTCACTCTTGGAGAGCCAGGCAAATCGCAGACTGCACCTCTGAGCCCTCCACTTGTTTAAATACTACCCTCCCGTAGGCCATGTCCTATTAACTCGATTTCCAGTTCCGTAGTAGAGACTTGGATATACACTAGGTGCTTCATAAATAGCAGATGGCTGTTTGAATACACAGCTGATGCGTTCTTGGGAATCCTGACGTCTTGGTAAGCATGGGGCTCGCAGCTGCCTCAGGCTGATGGAGAGTGCTATGAGCAGCCAGCACTCTCTGGCTTCTGCTATCTGAGGGTCATCCCAGGAGAAGAGACATCTGATAGGAGCTGACCCTGAAGTCTCATGTGGAAAAAATCCAGAAATCTTCAGGAGGTCTGGAGAGGCTTCCCAAAGAGGACCATTGAGCTGCAGCTTGGGATATTGTTAAGAGGTTCTCACAATGAAGTCAACCCAATCAGGTCTCCCCTTGTGCAGCAAAGATACAATTTAGAAACACCTCGAGGGACTAATGGCTGTTATGAACCCATAGCAGATGCCTCAGTTTGACTTCTTTTCTTTCTCTCCACCAGGGCAAGTTACTCTCCCCAAGTCAGGGACAGGATGGCAATTCCTGACCCATCTTTCTCTAGCAAGTAGGCTGGAAACTCTCTATCCTTACAGGGACTCAGTAAGAGGCACACTCTGCCCTCTGTGTTGCATCCAACCTTCCAAGTCCCCTCTGTGCTGGTGGCCAAAGAGTCAGAGTTATGGGCAGAGTTGGGAGCTGGCTGCAGCTGGGTGATGACGACAGCCGGAGAGAGAGAGCCTCAGTCCTCATATTGTGAGGGACTCTCTAGGGCTGAATGTCTCCGTGGTCCCTCCAGCTACAGGGCATCATCAGTGATTCCTCAAGAACGCTGGTACCAGCACATTAAACTCCTCTAAGAATCTGAGCACCAGGCGTGCCGAGAAGGGAAGCAGAAGCCACTCCTCATCCATGTCCAATCAAGGCGGGGGTTGAAGAGAAAAGAAATACCTTCTGAAATCCCTGCCTGCAGAGACCATTTTATCATTTGGTAAAATGTCAAGATTGGGTTTTTGTAACATATTTGAAGAATTCAAAGACCTTCCTTAGAAGGCTCTCAGTTTATTGTTTCTGACTAAACCCAGGTTCTATCTGTGTTGACTAAATTGAGCTCTAATCTGACGGTCTGCTGTCTCCTAGTTCCATTTTGGTCCTTGGGACGGGGCGGGGCGGGGTGGGGATGAGGAGTGACATGAGGGTGATACACAAACTAGATTCAAACCACAACCAACATAAGTCACACAGGCCCTTCCCTTCAACTGGTGTCTGAGTTTTTGGAAGCCCTACTGGATTCCCCATAACACAGCATCGCTCATCTCCTTCTCCAAAATGTATCAGCTACTTTCAAAATACACATTTTCCTTCTCAGGCTGATGCTGAGAGTGGAGAACAGAGAATTAAATTGAAAAGCTTCAAGAGCCAGGCTCTGCTCTTGCCAGATTTTTCTGTGGCTCTCAGTGTTTCTTCTCAGAGTATGCGTACATGCAGGAAACTGCCCCTCAGGCCCCCCAAACACCATCCTCACCTGCAGACGCCAGGAAACGGCTGGGAGAATGAGGACGATATGTAGGGAGCTGGGGAGGACGGAGGGTCGTTCCTTCCTGAAGCGTGTGGCCTATCAGCCTGCCCTGTGGATTCCTCAAAATAGCCCCATTCCTTTCATACCTCTCAGAGACTTGCTAAATAGTCTGGAGGACACTTTGCTATCCAGGTGATCTCTCTATGTGGCTTTGACATCTGTTAGACTTGTCTAGTTCCCAGCAAGATCACACAGTTGCCCCAACTCTATCAAACAACGTCAAGAGCTATATATTGTTGGCAGAGAGGGCGAGGGAGAAAGAATAGAGTCAAAGAAAAACCATGGCACCCTGCAAGCCCAGCATGCTCCAAGTTCACCATGGTCCATGAGAGTCTCAGAAGAGATTGTTCCAGCTTTGAACTCTTCTCCAATCCAACTTGCTTTGAGAACAAGTCCCTAGCTAATCTGATCTATCCGCTGTCTCTCTCCTCTGAATTGTAATTCCCCAGTACAGGTGGAGCATGGAAGTGAAGATCTGAACACCTGAATTCTAATACCTGCTTCTGTGGCCTCAGGTATCATCTAATTTCCTGAGCTTCTGTTTCCTTATGTAAAATGAGGGGATTACACTAGATCAGGAAAGGCAAAAATATTTTCTCTCACATGTCAACTCTGACCAGGAGGTAGCTGCCTGGAAAGCCAACATGGAAGACTGTTTTGAGGGCTAACATGAGAGATCAGCAAGGAAGAGTGATGTGATGGATTAGCAATGTCTGCCACTGGCATGGGAATGGTGTTGTGTAATGTATACCGAGTATTTGCCATCCTTGAACTTTTTGCTCTCAGCCATCCTTCACGGTCTAGCATCTGATGACTCATCACATTATTCCCTCACACATTAACATCTTTATCACTTAGTTAATACTTAATCATGTACCATTTTGTGCTTTCCTCTCACTATTTGATGTATATTCATCTTACTTCCCTAGTGGGACTGTTGATTCTCAGAGGGGGCAAGAGGTAGGTCTGCAATGCTTGGTACAGAGTTGAATTCACAAAAGTTGATGCTCAAAAAGGTAACAACATATTATGGGCTGATTTATTAGAGAAGACACTGATCTTTTCAGGATGCTGGTAAATAAGAGAGCGCAAACAATTTTCTGAAACCACTGGAACTCAGTCCCCTCCAGCTGGCTGAAATACTATGATTTGGCTCTTACTTGGGGGAAGAGGAAGAGGAAGAAGAGGAGGAAAAGGTGGAAGAGGAAGAGGAAAAAGAGGCAGAAGAGAAGGAGGAGGAGGAGGAAAAGAGCATACTTCCTCTTGCTCCGCCCTTCAGGAAATTAAATGGAAACCTGAGAACAATAATGGATAGAGGGGACTGGTCTGATCTGCCCTGAAAGAGGCCTCCCCTCCCCCACCCATGGTTTGAAAATGATCATTAGGTGATGCCTCATTACAACATCCTTCATCACTGCACCAGGGCAATGCTACTGCCTTTACATAAGCTGTGTCAGATCGGGGGAATTGCCACTCTTTTTTCTGTCCTCCTACTTTGTAACTATGTAGAGGCCAGAGATTAGAACAAACACGACGATGGCATAAAATCCATTCAGCCACCACCCTGAAAACTAATTTTACCGCTTAATATTTACTTTGTACTAATTGAATTCTCTATTTCAATGGTCTTTCCTAATCAGAGAAGTGCAAAGATAAAGACACAGAGAATACATTTCTATTTATTTACATGCAGGGATGATATTAATGCACTGTTATTTAGCCACAAACATAGATATTTCAAATAGAACATACTCCCAAATCCTACTGAAACATTGTAGCTCAGGCCTTCAGGCAGCAAAAAAAAAAAAAAAAAAAAAAAGGAAAGGAAAGAAACAATTGTTATTGCATAATAGCCATTCTAACCTAGACCAAACAACAGCAGAGATAGAAAATTCCCAGCATTCTTTCATTCATTCAACTCCCATCTTTTTACATAAGTTGTAGAAATAAAACATTGTGGAATCTCACTAAGTCATTTGGAGAGAAAAAAAAAAAACCCAAACTCCAGTACATGCACAGAAATAGCAATCTGACTGCACAAATAAATGATAAATTTGCCTGACTGAGTTGAAATTCAATGCAATAAAAGAAAGACCTTCAAAGAGGATAAGGTTTTAACTGCATCAAAAGGTTCTTGTGCAAAATGGATCATTCAAATCCCCAGGATGGCACTTGCCACTAATTAGGTCTGTTAGGTCTTTTGACATCAAGTTCAAGGGATCTCCGCTAAAAATTCCAATTTATGAAACACACTTCCAGGCAACCTAAGGCGGCTATTCAAATTTACATTAAGAAAACATGTGGTTTTGTCCACGTCCCTGTGCAGTTTTCATTTCTCATATGTTACAAGGAAGCAACCGATAGGATTCAAGGGGAGAGAAGAGTTTGTATGGAAAGGTTAAGTAGCTAAAAATATATGTACACAGTTGCTTCCAGGGAAAGAGGAGGTGGTAGAAAATGATAAATACAAGTTTCTGGGAGAAGTAAAGAAAAAGGGGGATGGCTGACGAGGGTCTCATGACGGGAGCTGTTTTTCCAAGACAAACAGGATAAATATAGCTAATTAAAGTGAAACATCAGTTTCTTTACACCCTGCACAACTGGGAAAAAAACCTCTGATGGAAATTTTGATTTTCAAGATATGTAAAAATGGGGTGAGGAAGAGAGGAGGTTATAAAGTGCAATTTGGGTTAAAGCAATTGTTGGTTCTTATGTTCAGTTTTAGGACTGATGAGTAAATTGAACAAGTTTTTGTAAGTTTGTACATTCATTTTTAGAACTGATGATTAAATACTTTTTTTTGTAAGTTCTTATATGCATTTTTAAGGGGTGATGATTAAATTGAACAAATCTTTATAAGACACCTACGGGTGAAAAATGAAGCAATTTACCATATCCACGAAAGTTAAAAATAAAACATATACAGACATACACACTGACAATTTCAGAATTTAGGTTAGCAAAACTTCATAGGTCCACAGATGAGAACTTGCATATTTATTAATTTTTTTCTGATTTCCTCTAAAATGGTTTCTAAGTTTAAAACATTTCTCAGCAATGATCTTCAAATAAAAGAACATTAAAAAGGCAAAACCTGCTTTGCAAATTATGTGAGAGCATCCTTTTAAAAAAAAAAAGTAAGACAATTTTCACAAAGTTCTGCTTACCTGGAAGGCTCCACAAACCAGAAACTTCCAGGGTTCTTAATTTTTTCTCCAGTTCAGCCACCCGATTTCCGAGGATTCTGGAAAAGGGGAGAAAAAGGCGGCAGACAGATCAGCGAACATCTGCCTCATTAGCTCTTAGGGTTGTGGGCAGGCAACTTGGGAAGCCTGCTAGTGCCCTAATAGAGGAATGTTTTGAGATTTAAGACATATGCTAAAAACAGAGTGTGTGCGTGTGTGTGTAGAATATATACGTGTGTATATATGTGTGTATGTATGTATACATATGTGCGCAGACACGTAGTCTACTGAAGTATGTATGAAAATATAAGTGAATGATTAAAAATGATTTTAAAAATTACTAAAATGTTGCCATTCAAGTGAATCTTCTCCCACAAAGACAGCTGGGAAGCCAAACGAGTCCACCACTGCCCAACATCTGACATCATTTCTGTCTGGGAATTGCTCATTGCTAAAGATGACATTTAACTTTAAATACTCTTAGTAGTATCACATCTTGATTCTTTGAGGGTGGGTCTGAGTTTTGAAACAACCAAGAGAACAAGTAAGATGGATGAACATGCTTCGTAATGTTACTTTGAGTCAATAAAGTAGTAAGATCCACCGTCTGAGCCCTAACCTACGTCTTAAGGATAGCCATAGCCCTGATCGCTAGCACAATGCACGGTGGACGGCAGGCGTTCAATAGAAACATGTGATGAAATAAATGCTTTCCTTTTTTTCATGGCTTGTAATTATCTCTGGAGAGAATTTTAAAAAACAGGCATTTCAGAAGTACTTTCGGCAGTTACAGAATCACTAGAACAATTATATTGCTTTCCAAGGTGACCATCTTGACTCCTCCATGATGTTTAAGCTCTGGAATGTATATCTGAAAAGATCACTCTGTTTACTTGGAAGGCAAATGTTGTCTATATGCATGGAAAGACATAAATGTGGGCATATATTTCCCCTTTGTCACTCTACACAAAATTAAATATACTTGGGAAATGATTTGATAGTCATCTAAAACTTCAATCACTTTCCATTGGCTTGGAAATTGAACAGCCAGTCTTTATCTTTGGGGGATTTTCTTGGCACTGCTGTGCTAAAATGATGCGGAAATCACCTTAATAGTGAAGTTTCAAATCCTTTCAGCAGGAGAGACGAGAATGCCAGAATTGTTCTCCTACCTCTCTTTATATTCCAGAGATAGCTGCACACACCCACATACATACCAAGACATGAATATGCATATATCTGCACATATATATATGGCTTTGGATGCATCCTTATTTTACCTGAATTGACTTGCAGCATCTTAATTAATATTCCCTTCGAGTTCACAGGGAACTCTTTGACGTTACTATATGTGGTTTTGTTCATCTAGATACTTAGAGCTTTTCCCTTTTCTTTTCCTTAAGTCTTAAATTCTGCATAGTCTTTATCAATTACTTTCAATTTTCACTCTATTTGTTGGGTCTATTTTGCTTTCATTTCTTTGACCCTTCAATAAACACCATTCTTCGTAATCTCACTTTCAATATTTTGCTCAGACCTTCTGATCCAACCTCCCTTTTCACCAGCTGATGGATTTGAGATGCAATCACAGCAGTGTTCAAGTTGGTGCCTGTTTCTTAACGAGATCAGATCATCTGTATGTGGCTGCCTCTTGGAAACAAAAGATAAGGCTTAACTCTTCTGTGTACACTGAAGGATCAATGTTCAAAGGCGTGGTGAAGAGACATTCAGTTGTATTTTTTCTGATGTTCCTGGATAAGACAGCCGTGTCTCCCAGAAAAGGTCTGAGGTGAATTTGCTGGTGTCCCCAATAATCTATTCTCAGGGACTCTGCGGAAGTTTGTCAGTGCTGACTGCTTTTATCTTTAGCCTGACACAGGCATCTGATGCAGGGCTGGAGGTAGTAAAATGGATCCAGTGGAAGTTGTGGTAGTGGCAATAGTAACACCAAAGCCACCAATGACAACTGCACTGTGGTTAACACAAAACAGCAACTAATCTTTCCTGAGCCTCAGGCATGAGTCAGAGCCCCTGCTGAACACATACTGAATGTGCAGTTTTTTTCATCTGACCTGACAAAAACTCTGCATTTTAAAAAATTCTCCTTTTACACATGTGGACCCTAACAAACAGAGAGGTTAAGCAAGTTGCTCAAGGACACACAGTTCATCTCAAAGCATGTCTTTTCCTAACCCCCAGTGTTCTCACCCACCACACTCTACTCCTCCCATTAAGAAACAGAGGTATGGAAGTTAGTTAACTTAACCCCACCACATGCAGGACTCAGCTGGTGGTGAGTGTCTGGCTTTTTACCTGCACCTCAGTTTGGCTCCGAAGTGCATGCTCTTAACCGAGAATCCCACAAGGGCCCTGTAAAACCAGCGTTGTCATGCCTAAGGCAAGTTCTCTTTAAGAACCCTTCGAAACTGAAACACCAATGCAGCCACAGCTGGCTTGCAGAATATAGCCCAAGATGCTTCAAGTGACAGAGTGTCTTCCTGGTTGGCTTTACACCAAACAGAACGCCAGCTGGGCCACTGAACGTGCTGGGACACAGCCCAGGGAGAGAAGAGGGCCATCTGAGTCTTAACAGCTGGCAGTATTCACAGATGGAGACAGTAGAAGTAGAAACAGGATCCGTTCAATGTAGTTCAACCAATTCAACAATTATTGAGTAACAATATAATGCCATTTGCAACAACATGGATGGACCTGGAGATTGTCATTCTGAGTGAAGTAAGCCACAAAGAGAAAGAAAAATAACATATGAAATCACTTATATGTAAACTCTAAAAAAAAAGATAAACTTATTTACAAAACAGAAATAGACTCACAGACATAGAAAACAAAGTTATGGTTACCAGGGGGGAAGGGGGTGGGAAGGGATAAATTGGGAGCTCAAGATTTGTAGATACAAACTAATATATATAAAATAGGTAAACAACTGGTTCATGCTGTATAGCACAGGGAACTATATTCAATATCTTGTAACTTATGGTGACAACGAATATGAAAACGAGTATCTGTATGTTCATGTGTGATTGAAGCATTGTGCTGTACACCAGAAATTGACACATTGTAAACTGACTATATTTAAAAAAATATATATATATATAAAACATTGAGGCTGTAGGGGACAATGAAGAGAAGCAGAGCCCGTCCCCATATTTGAGGGACTCCATCTGGTGGGAGACAGATGGACAGGCGTGTGCATAGACGCACACGCGTACTCTGCCAGTGGGAGGCCTTAATAACGGTGGCTGTTTACTAATCACATGCTCACAGATATGATCTCACTTAGACCCTTGCGACAATCAGTGCGGTAGCTCTTAATTATGCTTATTTTGCAGATAAGGGAGCTGAGACTCAGAGGCCAACCAAGTTGTCCTGGGTGACACAGCTGGCAGACAGAGGGGCCAGAATCAAAACCTGGGCCTGGAAATACACAAGTGTTTCAGGGGAACTGCGGTGCAGAAGCGAAGATTAAATGAAAGATGAGCCCAGGGCAGCCAGTAGGGACCCAGATCATGAATGATCTTGTGGCCATATTGAGAATGTTGAGACTTTTACTCATTGGCCGCAGAGGGAGACTAAAGGCTTTGAGGCAGAGAAGCAGCATAATGAAGTTCAGGGAAACCGTTCCTGACGTGGGGTTGAGAATGAACCGGAAGGAGTGTGAGGTGAAGCAGGAAGAGCAGTTCGGAGAGTACGGCCCAGGGCGGTGACAATGATGGCCGCAACAAGCCAGTGGATGCAGGGAAGCCAGAAGAATGGAGTCGTGACAAGGAGGCAGATGAGGAGTTTGAGATGCCCACGCGACATCCGGGCAGACAGCTGGCCACGTGGGAGACGGGAAAGATCTGCTAGGGCAAAGATGAGAGTGCGCTGGGGGGTGGGTCTACTTGCCACCAGAGTGGGAGAGGTCAGGACAGGCAACCGGAGCACACCTGTGCAGGCAGGAAAGGGCTGGAGACACACAAGGGGAGAGGAAAGAGGAGAGGCTGGGCCACATGGGGCCCCGAAGCCAGGGGGAGAGAGAGTTCCAGGTGGGGCAGTGTGCGGTATTGCCTTAGTCTAGAAAGCAGTCACACAGGATGAAAAAGGTCAGTAAGATGTGCCTGGCCCTTGAGAGAGCTGTTACAAGACAGGGGAAGGGTGGAATCCAGAATCCAAGTGATAGGGTTGAGAAAAGCAGACTGTGAGAAAGTTGAAGCGGTGTATATAGATGACTCTTCAAGTAGTTTAGCAGGGAATCCAAGGAGACAGCCAGGGCCGCAGCTTGAGGCATAAACAGGCTTGAGAGAGGGTTTTTTTTTTTCGGTAGGATGGGGGCAATTTTAAAATAAAGTTTTTAGCTCGCTATGGCTTGTTTTAGGACAGGGGAGGTTTTAGCACACGTCCACCTAGTAGTCCAGGAACATCCCCGGGACACCAGGCCTCTGGATGGATTTGCAGGGGTAGTTTCTGATGATAACAATGTCACAGGGGACCTGCAAGACGGAACTAACTCAGGAACTGGCCACCACTGTGCCTCTGTCTCTGCTCTCTGGACAACACAGAGAGCAGGAATCTCTGCATGAGGGTCCTGGGCGGAGCTGGGACCCAAAGAGGAGAAGAGCCGTGGCCCCACACAGAGGGCCCTGCTCCCCACCTCCACGCTAGGAGACCTTCTTTTGAGTCTCTGCTCTGATCCGTGACAGCTTCTGCTGCTTCCACGGTCTTGAAATTCCAAGCGACTCACCATTGGCCGGAGAAGGGAGAGAGCAGGTACCAGTTTGAGGCACAGCACAGAGGCTGGTGAAAGGGCAGCATGGCCTCATGTCCTGACCACCACCGCTGCCACCCCACCTGCCAAGTGACGGCTGGCTGGGAAGGGCTGGAGAGCCAGATGTGTTCTGTAAGATAGTCCTCTTTAACATCTGCCTCTTCCATTGCTGCTCTGCCACCATAAGACACAAGAACCACATCCCTTCTTTCACAGTAGCTAGACAACTGCAAACTCTGGCAACGAGTACTTCAAGCAAAATGCTTATTAACAGAACATCCTCTCAAAATATAAAGTCCTGGGTTCACTCATCAATTCTTCAAGATGTCCCATTGACCACTGGGCCTTGGGGGCGGGCGGTGGGTGGGTGGTGGGGGTAGTAGAGGGGTAACTGCTAGGCAGGGGGGTGCCGGTAGGGGGAGCACACACTTACAGAACAGAACACCTGTATTGTTTCTAATGCTACACCCAGACAGAGCTATTTTACTATTTTAATTACTAAACCATTGGGGATAACAGCAAGCAGATCAAATTTAAATTTTATTCTGAGCCCCCACTCCATCTGTTGTATAATTTGTTTCTTTCCATACCACAAATAAAACATTTATTGAAAAGTATGAAAACTTAAGACCCTCAAAGTATTAAAAAAAAAAGGCACATTAGGGACTTTATGTACTGATAGGGAAAAATCTTCAAGATCTATTGTTACTAGAGAAAAAAAGGAAGGTTGGAGATGGTGAAGAAAACTTTTTTTGACGAACACTAGCTGCAATTTGTAAAAAAGAAAAGAAAAGAAAAAAGAAAAATCTGTATCTGTATAAATACATATGAGCACTTATGTGTGTCTATATAAATGTATTATGCATTTGCTTATATATGCATCCTTGGAGAGGATACATAAAAAGTGATGAATGGTGGTTTCTTCCAGGAGGGGGAATTGGGTGGCTGAGAGACAGCTGTAGTTTGGAGATCTACTGTTTAGCTTTTTAAAATGGGAACCATCAGGTGGTTCAAAATTATTAAATAATAATTTAATAATGAAAAGGTACTTTAAAAAATAAGCCTAGCAAAATGAAAATGTCTATCTTTCTCAACAGAGGGTGGGAGCCCGTGGAACCTGGGGATGTGTGTTGCAGTGGGGGATGGGAGGAACACATCAGGAAATCAATCTGTCGTAAGGGGCAAGAGGGTCAGGCCAACCGCGTGGGGATGCTGAGCTTGGTAGGCAGTGGGACTCGGCCTAGCTCTTCAGTGGAGGCTTGTGTCGTGATTGGAACTGTAGCTGTCAAGTGGCTATGAGAGTGTCCAGGTAAGCATTGGAAGAGGTGGGGCTGGGGTCTGAGGATGGAGGACTGATGGGAGAATCTTCCCAAGGACGAGGTGATGGTCCGGTAGAAAGAAAGCAGAGGGGGCATTTAGAAGATGTACCTTGAAGGACCATGGCAAGCACTCAGGAAATATATATTGAATACATGAATGCATGAAAACCATAAAGCTAAATGGCCACCGCATATGATTATTAGGGCGGGAACAAAGAGTTTGAAGACGATTCAATCGTCCATTCATCAAACAATGAGCACCCGCTGTGGGCCCAGCCCTTTCCTACGTATTGGGAGAAAAGAGAGACCAAAATAGACCAACATTCTGGCCTTGGGACAGCTTCAACCCGAGTGATGTCAAACCTAGTTATTTGGATGGTTGGCAAAGCACATTAAATATTCCTCAAATGACGCTTTAAGTGGCTGAATAATATTCTGCCTCATGGATTTCCTGTAATCTTAATCATTCTTCAATTTTAAAATATTTGGGTTGTTTCCATTTTTTTCCCCACTCTTATAAATGAATTCACAGTGAACCACTTTATGTATAAATCTTAGGGCTTCATTCTGATTTTTTTTCTTTATGCTACATTCCTAGAAGCAGACCCTCTGTGTGAAAGGGCACAAGCATTTTGAAGTGTCTTAAAACGTACTAAGGAATGCATGCTCCAGATTCTAGACTCATCACATTTGAGGAACTGAAAAAGTATCAGGGGAAACTGTCAACCTAGCAGTGGGAAATGTGGGTCTTGCTCTTGATGGTGAGGTGGGGACAGGAGTGCTACGAAGAGTTGGCAGAGAATGGAAGCAAAGACAGAGGGAACGAGGTCCCCTGGGGGGGGTAAGAAGATGGAGGACTAAATGCAAGAGGAGGAGGAGGCGGCCTGGGGTGGGCAGGAGGGGGAAAGAGAGAAGGAGGGAGAAGGGAATAAGGCAGTGGAGAAAGTCGGAGGAATCCAAAAAGATGGGAATTGGGATGTAGAGAAATTATAGAAAAGAGAGATTCAGAAAGTGGGGTGTAGGGGTCCTGGTGACCTTCAGCAGAAGACTGTTATGGAAAATTCAGAAGAGGTCTTGGGAGGTGTTAAAGCTGAGGTGCTCTTCTGTTCCTGCCCAAGGCGTCACCAGGCGCTTGCTAAAATCCAGAATCCTGACGTTTCCTCCAGGACACCCTCCAAATCCACATTTCTAAACAAGCACCCCCTCTAAAAACTCCAACATAGGTGCCCCTCCAGAACACACTTTGATGGAGTGTCTGTTAAAGAAGTAGAGGTGATTTCCTGTTCACAAAGATCTGAGGTGACTGGAATTCATGGGAACCCTTTTGGGTGGGTTCAGGAAGATCTGTGAGGCTTCCTGGTGAAGATGCAGAAGTAGGAGGCGGGACCGAACTGAAGAGGCTGCAAAAGGAGGTCACAGGAGAGTCAGGCCCAGAGAAGGGAAGACAGTGGGGATGGCGGGTCCGTGTGTTTCCCAGAGACCAGAGGGAGAGGATGGCAGATGTGGGTTTCAGGGGAGCAGTAAGTTGTGGGCTGACAATAGGCAGGCTTTGTTTTCTCAGTAAAAGAGGGGCTGAGGCCACCTGCTGAGAACTAACTAGGGTTTAGAAGACCTGAGAAGGTTTGCAGGAGCCCCAGTGAGTGCTTTGCAGGGAGCTGGTGAGGACAAGAAGGCTCCTGGGAACGCTGCGCCGGCAGGGGATTTCTGTCTGAATAAAATAGATCTCGTACCTATTCTGGGGAGATTCCCATTTCTCCTTCCTCCCCTGAGGAGTATTTCCGTTTTAGCACCTGGCCATTTCAGTCCTTGGTTAAGATTTCTTTTAAGAGAATTTTTAAAACTTCTGTCAATAAATTACCCTTGTCATTCCTTTAAGATTGCCCAGACTCCCTCCACTGCTCTCTGTCTTCTTTTATATATATTTTCATCTCCGGCATGATCTTCCCTTCACTCCCGGCCTCTCTTTTTGCTATTTTGTTTTTACAATACCCTCCATCATTTTCTGGCTGCCTATCTTCCTGTGCCCCCGCCTCGCTGGGGCTCCCGATTCCCCAACCCCTCTTCTTCTTGCTGGGAACCCAGCCTTTTGGTGCCTGTATTTCATTTTGGTTCCCCTGGTAGGTCTTATAAGCAAGACCAGCTATGGAATTTGCAGGGCTCAGTGCAAAATGAAAACTCGGGGCCCCCTTGTTAAAAAAAAAAAATTTCAAGATGGTGACCTTGGAGCATGAGACCAAGTGCAGGGACCTCCTGAATACTGGGTGGTGTGTGACTGTGGGTTGCCGGCCCTATTTGCAACATTTGTTGCTTTAATTTGTTGTTTAGTCGCCATTCTCTGAACACTTTAATTTTTGCTCCTGTTGTCTCTAACTGCTACTTTAACTTGTGTGATTTTGCCCAACATAGTCCACATGTTTATAGTCACCGGATAAGAGATTCTGTTTTAATTATTGTTCCTTTTCACCATTTTGTTGTTGATCTGGAAAAGTGGCGTGAGATTCCCTTTGAGGCCCAGCTGCTATTCAGAGCCCCAGGGAACCATGCTGTAAGGTTAAAATGGCACCGAGGAGGTGCCTTCCCTCAAGGGGACCTGGAGGAGAGCAGGTTCAGTTACCCAGGCAGGAACACTATCAGAATCAGCCAGGCAATATGCATTACGCAGGGCGTGGCTCAGGGTAGGCATTCAATACACGATAATCAGCATTACTTTCAGCTGGTTCCCCTGAGAGCCAGGATGCTGTCATTATTCCGAAGCATAGCTGCAGTTGAGTAAGTTTCCTTCCAGATTTGGGGGCTCATCCCTCCTTCCCTTAAGGTTTTAGTCCCACCTGGTTGCCACCCACTGCTGCTGGCCCTCCTCCCACACATCTCCCACCCGCCCCCAGCCCAGGGGCCCAGCCACCTACTTGTTGGTCTGTCTCTGGTGCTGGATGATCATGTTTTTCTCATGGATCGTCTCCAACAGGGCCGTTGCCAGAGATTTCAGGTCAGAAATGGACTGCGGAGTAGCTGGGAGACTGCACCCGTGATCCTCAGACAACAGATCTTGAACTAGGCAGGATATAAAATTTACAACTCAGTCTTAAATCCTTCTGGAATGTCAGAATGCAAGCCGAGGTCAGATCTTCCTGAACAGTGAAGCTGCCATCTGTTCCCGGCTTCTATATGCGACTATATCGTAATTGAAGGGTCCATTTCAAGTGTCGAAGGTAATATAAAACAAAATTCAGTGTGAGGGGTGAGGTTTAAACAAAAAGGAGGAAGCCCTCATGGACTTTTAACAACATGTGTTTTAAAAGAATAATCATCTTTTGCATTTGTCCAGTATTTTACACTTTCAGAACACTCATACTGGCTAGCTCATTTGAGACTTGGAAAAAAAACCCCTGAAAAATGTTATTTATTCCCATTTCATGGACATAAAAGCAATGTGCTGATGGAGTAAAAACATTAGCTGAAGGTCACCCAGCCATGGAAATGACTGTGACTCCAGTCCTGAGCTCCTTGCTTTAAATATCAGCTTCCCATGTGGTATGCTTGGTGGGTGGCAAGATAATACAGGAGATTATTTAGAATATAAAATACAAAATATAAAATATTTTATATATGCACATTTTTAGAAATGAAGAGATAACCCCAAAAGACAACAACTATTTGTACCCTTACCAGACAGAAAAATATATATATAAATCTCTCCTTATACCTCTGAAAATCATTTCTTCTATGCCTATACATAGACCCCCAAATTCATCCGTTTCTCTTCAAAACTGGGAAAAAGCTCTGCTTTTTCCTCTTTACCTTATGCCTCATCATGAATATCCACTAAAATGTAAAATGTAACAGCTGCTTAGAGCTACAGTAATTTATTTAATGACTGCTGGACATTTGTGTTGCTTCCATTTTTTGTTTTTTTAATTATAACTAATGTAGGAAGAACTTTCTTGAAGCAAAGTGCTTGCATATGTCTGCACTTATTTCTTGCTGGCTCAAAGGGTTTTTAAGGTTTTTCATAACAGGGTGCCAAATGGTTTTCTAGAAAAGTTGTGCCGGTTGACCGTTCAGCCATGGTGTTGGAGTGTAGCTGGCGTTCCCCATGTCGGTAACAGGACTGGGCCTCAACATTCACGGACGTCTGGCTATCAAGGGCGCCCAGAGGTGTACTTGGATGGGCTACCTCACATCTCTATAGAGTACTGTAGTTTTCTTTTCAAAAAGAATTCTAAGGTGTCCTTTTTGTGTTGAGTGAGAAAAGAGAGGTTGCTTGGAAAAGTGTATTGGTTATTAGGTAGGCTGGAGATTCAGCACTTTTTTTTAATCCGCTGTAGCTCTGATGAGGGCTGTCACGTGATCCTTGCTGGCCCGCATCGCCAACAAGCCCAAAGTGGGCCAGCCCAGCATGGTCCACTTGAGGCTTATGTTTAGAACTGAATTCCCAAAAATTAAGTGTCAGAAGCAAGCTCTCTGCTATTTATTCCCCTGACTGTTCCTGGACGATCATTATTTTTCATCGGAATCGACAAGAAGGAGGAATAAAATTGCAATCAATAAAAGCTTCTTTGAAAAAGGCACGTGTGCCACGAGAAAATGATTCCAGCAGCTATGAGACTTTTCTAGTCTGATCATAAAGGCCGGGAAAAGCGGAAACTTGACGAGGCTGGCACAAACGCTGGGAGATGCTAACCTCCCTGTGATTAGAGAAGGGAAAACATTCCGGAAAGGAGAGCGTAGTTAGGGGTCTAGTTTTTGAGAAACTCTAATGCAGCAGCTCTCAGAGCAGGGTTCCCAAACCAGCATCTGCATCCCCTGGGAACTTTTTAGAAATGCATATTCTCCGGGCTCAACTCAGACCTATTAAATCAGAAACTGAGGTGGGGCCCAGTAATCTGTTTTAATAAGCCCTCCAGGCAATCCTGATGCAGGCAGAAGTTGGGGGTGGTGGTGACCATTCTAAGGATCACCTCTGTTCCTAATCCACAAAACCAGAGGTGTTGTGTTTTAAAAGAATAATCATCTTTTGCATTTGTCCAGTATTTTACACTTTCAGAACACTCATACTGGCTAGCTCATTTGAGACTTGGAAAAAAAAACCTGAAAAATGTTATTTATTCCCATTTCATGGACATAAAAGCAATGTGCTGATGGAGTAAAAACATGGCTCTAGAATTCTGTGATCATAAATGGTCCGTCCCAGAGCATGGACCCTACCTTGCTTTGCAGACAGGACTCCAGTCAGAGCACTGCTGCTGGATTTACCTTGGCCTTTCGAGTTTTTCCGTCTCTCAAGAGCATTCTAAAGCAGCATGGGGAGAAAACAAAAAGCTCTGTCAGAAAAGCCAATATTAGAAAGAAGACCTAATTACAGCAGATGCCTCCTATCCGGCACACAAGAACTCTTTGCAAACTCCAAATGCTGGCGCAACTTTTCAAATTCAGAGTCCCCACCAAAGAATTATGATTTTTATGGACCTGGTAAAGAGGTTTTTTTGTTTTTGTTTTTGTTTTTTTTAAAGTTAGTACCCAGTAGAATTACAGCAATTACATCTGCCTATATATAGAAGACACTCAATGTATATTCATTAAATTAAATCAAATCTGAAGCAAGAACTCAGTCTAATGTGTGAAGTCACTAGTTTTAGAAACTCCTTCTGAATAGACATGAGACGGAGAAGAGGTTTTCTTGCATGGACCGATGCCAAAAGATCATTAGTGGTGTTTGGAAGGATTCTGTGGTTGGACTGGAAAAAGAGCTGTGAGTGATTAATGAAATCTGCTGTGGACACAAGATTAAGGAAGTATGTGTGTGTCATTCATGGAACTGACTGTTACATTAAAATTGATACGTGCGGTATAGCCAGCGCTTGGCACATAGAAGATCTGAATAAATGTTGGTAAGTGAATGCATACATACATTTTAAAAATTATGTATTAATTATACAACTTTAAAAGCGGTATTCTTCTTTGGCTGCCTGTATATATATAGACTGGTGTAAACTCAAGCGTGGCCCCCACAGAATGGAAAGGCAGAACAGCACGGAGACTCCTGAGAAAAAAGCAAACCTCAAAAGCGAGGAAAATGAGACGGCTCTCCCCAGCATCGAGACTGCTGCAAAACTTCACCCTCAGGAAGAGAAATCAATCTATTTTCAAAGCGAGAAACTCAGGAGGCTTTTCTAATTATAACACTTAAAGCTAACATCTGCAGAAATAGATATTATCTAACTAATGGCGCTGGAATTCGACTCAGTAACAGTGGGGCGAATTCCAACATTCTGTCCTTTCAGTGTGACGTGGACATTATCATTTCGATTGTGATTTCCCAGTCTTTGCTTCTTCCTCTCTCAGAAATCATTTTCTTATGATGATGATTAGGAGACAAAGAGCATCTGACGACAGAACATTTTATTAAAAAAGCCAGATAAGAAACCTAATTGAATACGGACTGAGGCTGTAAAGTGGCCATGTCCAGATTCTGGGGGGATCTCAGCGTACCCTGCCCAGATAACAGCAATGAATAGAAGGAGCTTTTGCAGAAGCTGTTTTTGTTGTGTTTGCTGTTTTGGGTTTAATTCTTCCTGGTTCCTCAGTTAAAGCTCTTATTGGACTCTGTCAGGGAGGGCAGGCAAGCACTGGAATACCTTTGGCACATAAAAGAGAATTAAAATAGAATGACATTTAGATGTACAATAGTGAATCATCACTGTCATCATCATGATTTTCTACCTTGTACTTGGCAATGTTAGATTTCAAGAGGTTGACCTCTTCGTGAAGTTGCTTTAATCTCTCCTGAAGGTACCTGGAAAAGAATATATACAACTAGGAAGAGTTTGGGGGCCACATAAAAAAACCTACACTCAAGGAGGAGAGGAAACAAAGAAAACCACCCACTCAAAGAGCCATCTTTTACATACAGCGTCTTCTCACCACCAGAAGGAGGAAGAGAAAAGCGCATCTTTGTGACCTCTTCTTGAATGAATACGATCAAGGTCAAATACACCGAAATCACAGAAAGCTCACTTTAGAGCAGCCCTCTGCAGAGATCCCCTACGGGATAGCAACACAGTTTTCACATAATTCTCATTAAGACAATTCCACTGGGGAGCAAGTCAGGAAGAGGCGACACCAGACACAGCATTAAGTTAGTCACATACACACACTGAAGTCTGCCTCAGGGAAAAGAAACAGCTAAGGGAATTTCTCAATTTATTTTCTTATTCTTTTCCATCTTCTTGATAGCAATCACAAGCAGCTTCCACTGACTCCCCACCCAACTGGGGAAGAGGGAGGGTGGGGGGGGGAACAGAGCACGCATGGAGGCGTGTAGGCTTGTGGTTTTTCTTTTCTTACTTTTACCACTAATGTGGGGCATTAATACCATTGTTACAGGGTTGGGATTTTCCTTTCACTGTAAGGCAATTTCTCAAATGTAAATAGGGCTGCGGTAGCTCCCAGCCTGCAGGTGCGTGGAGAGCCCGCATTCTCCCTGAGCCTGGCCACTTGCCTGTTCTCCATACACAGGGCATCCACGTCAATGATACGGTTCTCGTGCCCGCTCAGGATGTGGTTTAGCTCCTGGTTGAGCCTCTCGACTTTGTCCTGGTAGGAAGACCGCTCTTCTTTAACATCCTGAAGCTCATCCACAGAGGCCTGCAGGTCATGCTCCAGAGATTCAATCTGAAACCAAAGGAGGCGCCCTCACTCAAGACACTCTTCAGACGCCGGCTTTATGGCTAAGACAGAGCCTTCTGCTGGGCTGCCTGGCTTTCAGAGAACTTTTCCAGACCACCTGCATGCTATAAAGCCATCAGCGCCACACACTGTAATAGTACAAAAGCAAAAAGCAAGGGGATGACTTCTGGCCAGACACTTATAATATCTAAGGTGGGAAGTGGGCAGGAGCTTGGAAACATAGACCCAATCGCTTACCTGCTGCAGCACGGCCTAAAGCCAGAGGCTCGGAGAGGGCAAATCCAGACACTGGGAACAACAGCCAGTGTCTTACAGATATTTTCCCAAACCACTCTAAACCCAGAAATCTTGTTCTGCTCTTCGAAACCAATCAGTAGGAGAAGAAAATCGACATCTATGCTCTCTGAGCTGTTCCCTGACTAGGGCTTGGTACCCGTTGAGATTGTGCCTGAACAGCATCTCTCAGCATTTCAGCGGAACCTTGCAAATCAAGGCCAGTTTGTCACGTTCTGTCCTCTCCCTGTCTGTCTTGGGCAGGGAGGGTGTTTCTTGTGTTCAGAACAATGGTACCCAAAGTAAGAGTACAGACCTGCTGGAAGCCAGAAACGGAAGAGGCCACTTGGGAACCAAGCAAAGCACAGAGGGAGTAAGTGTATTCAAACTGTATCTCCCTTCCTCCCCTGATTGCATCCCAGGCACCCCACACTTTCAGAGAAACGGGGCACAGTCCACTCTCCTCTGTGTTGTGCCCAGCTGTGCAAACAGCTCCCCCACTCTTAACAGGTGTTGGCGATAACCTGTTCTTTTGCTCTCTCCAGCTGCTGGACCAAATCCTCACGCTCATGGGCTGCAAAGTGCCGCACGCCAATTTCTTCGTCTCCAAGCCTCTGTTTGGCAATTGTCATCCTCAACAACTGCATTTTCCATTGGTAGAAAAAGGAGAGAGAGAGAGAGAGAGATGAATAGACATGAATAAAATTCCAAGCACACTAGGCAGAAAGCTCTGGAAGATAAGCTTTTCCAAGAAATACTGGGGAAAGATACAAGACAAAGAAATTTCTTGCCAATATCACACATTAAAATAAAAAAAAATCCATATTGTATTCTGTACATGCACGCACAGACACACGTGTGCATGCATACACTGCATAAAGCTAAGGGGAACACAGGCCTGGGAATCCGAAGGTGGGTGTCCTGTGTAGCTCCACCATAGTGAGGGAAAAACTCTGGGTCTCTTTTAAACTTGGCAAAAATTAAGGTTTTGCTAAAATGGGCATGCTCCCACAGTCTTAATAATTAGGCTATGTTATCAAGAGCCTTAAAAATGTCCCTACCCAATGATCCAGTAACTCTGCTTCTGACCATCTGGGCTAAGAAAAATCCCAGACGTGGACGAGCTTTAGGAAAAAAGAAAAAAAAAGTCGATTGTGCTGTTATTTATAGAAAGAGTAAAAAGAAACTAGAAACACTGTCTAACAAAAGTAGAATGGCTAGCAAAGGATAATGTAGTCAGTCAATGGGCTACTTTACAGCTGTTTAGAATGAGGGTGATGTGAACTATGCAAGACCACAGACTAACTTTTATATACAGTATGATTGAAATTTATTCTAAGAACCCATATATGAAAAAAAATTACCAAATACACTAAACTTTTAAAATGTGTATGTTTAGGTGATTTGAGACTGTGTATGCTATCTGTTCTTTGCTTCTCTTATTTTTTAAAGTACAGTGGGGAAAGTGTAGCTCAAGTAGTAGAGTGCATGCTTAGCATGCACTGGGTCCTGGGTTCAATCCCCAGGACCTCCATTTGAATAAATAAATTAATTAAATAAATATGCATGACTTTCATAACATACTTTTGAAATCGTTTTTAAATCTCTAGGAATTAAATTCTAGTCCTCAAATTGTAATTTTCCAAAGGATCCCTGAAGAACCCATGGCTTTCCAGACTCTGGGGCCAGTCTCCACATGTAGCTCCAAACCTTCCAGTAGGGCCATGATGGAAACTGTTAGAGACCCCAGGAAGAGCCAGTGGTCCCAGAGCACCCCCTATATGCCCATCAGTACCAAGCAGGTTGCCATTTGAGTGACTTTTTAAAGTCAGGGCACTGCTTCCTGATGCTTCTTCTAAAGAGATCGTAAGCCTGGTTCCTCTACCTCCCCGTAGGGTGTGTGAGGATGGACTTCATATACAGATGAAACCCTGGGCACAGTTTTTTGCTGCCACATAGATCTGACCCATCCAGGAGTACCTACTGGGGCAGGCTCTTCCTTGTTCCTGCGTGAATCTTAAGAGATTTGTTGCCAATAGAGAAAATGGCTTTATTTTCAAGTGTCTAAAGAACGTAGGGGCAGATGAGAAAGTTAAAAGCCAAGGCAGACTATTAATTAGATTGAAATAAGAAAATACAGCAATGAACTTGGAAAGACATGATGACTATTGAAAAGTAAAAAGCATTTTCAAATGACAGCTACTTGGGGTCCGTGTTTGAAAACTACTCAACTGCACTGGACAAATATTCACTGTGCACCTACTATGAGCGAGAGCATCGTTAGAATCAGCAGACAACAACTGAGGCAGGTGGAACAGACACACGGCACTTAGGTATGCAGATGGCCGTGCTTCATGGAATCCTCATTCCAACACCCAAGGATTCTGTCATTGTAAATCTGCCTACTGCAAATTTATCTGCAGCCTCAAAATCAGCATTCACAGTGCTTTTGTGTCATGGGTGAACATGCGCAGATAAATGCAGCGTTGTGAACAGTGGGAAACGTCCCACAGGAACGTTCCCAGCTGAGCTAGAACAAGGCAATGTTTTGCTTTCCTGTTTCAGTTCGTACTGGAAACAAGTGTCCTTCTCTTGGTCTCTTTCATGCCGCATTTCTTGTTGGGTTTTTTTCCCCCCACATTTTTGTGCTTTTTGTTGGTATTTTGCTGTTTAAGATGGCCTCCCACCCCGGGCAGGGCTGGAGTGCTATCCATGTTCCTAAGCACAAGAAGGCCGTGATGTGCCATACACATGTGTTGGATAGGCTTCATTCAGGCACAAATTACAGTGCTATTGGCCATGAGTTCGGTGTTACAGAATCAACCAATATAAATTAAATACAGTGACTTTACACAGAAACACATAGAAAACAAAGTTATACATTTATTAGGTGACAAAAATATTATGACCAGAGGCACAGAGGAACCTAATTGCACACTTCCCCTAGGAGCGATGGTTCAGCATCCCCTAACCTGGTGTCCGCAGCAGATTTAGAGAAGATAACTGCAGTCAACAACAAGAATCTGCTGTATTGGGCGGAACTGGTTCATTCACCTGAAAGCCACTATGTGAAAACATCTTTCACGTTACAGTTTCTTGACTGAGGGTTTTCAGAACCCCAAGTGGATACAAAGAAATACAAACAGCTAACTAACTAAGAAACATTTCTCAGATCAAAGGGTCTAGGAACAAGAAAGCCTGTGCCTCCTTTGGCATGAGGTGACAGGAGGCCTGCGACCTGGCTTTGAAAATAGGATGCTTTTCTTCATACGTGAAAAGTCAGATTGACAGCCTGAACTTTAAGTAATAAAATACCACTGTGGTTTTCCATTCACAGTACGCTTCACCGAACACTTAATTTAGAATCACACAATTATGTTTGCTTAATGCCAATTAATTATTAAACATGTTTATTGAGGTCTGACAGCCATATAAGAGAGTCATCTTTTATATACTGGATGCCTGTTAAGCTTCAATAAACATGTTAACAATCATTTGCTGTTTAATGTGCATACGATATCGGCTATTAAATCTCAGGGCTGGACTGGTTGAAACATTTATTTTTAAAAGTGAGGCCCAAGTTGGTAATAGCCGGATCACTGGTTGGGTCTGACACTCAAGTTCCATCAGCTGAAGGGGCCCAAGGAGGCCATCACAACAGCTGGCAGCTCACTGGCTCTGGAGTCCGCCTGCCTGGGGATTAGTGTCCTGGGACCAAGTCTGAGAGCTGTGCACCCTCAGACATTTGCCTGAACTTCTCTGAGCCTTAGTATCTTTCAGTGTAAGAATACGATAGTAAACAGATTTTTACTGTCCAGGGTTGCTGTAACTTTGGGGCCCAGAGTAGGCCACCCCAAAATGTACCTTGGTGGCATATTAATTATTTGGAATTAAAGTTACTTAAGAAATGACCAACACCAGAGGGACACTCTGATCCGCCTTTCAGACAAACTGCAAGCAGGAAAGAAATATCTCCTGTGAAAGGCACCTCAAGGAAGGACCCTCTTATTGCCAGAGAGAGGGAATTTAGTCCAAGAAGCCAATATAAACAAACCTTGTTACTTCCTTAATTCACTACCCAAAGCTCAAACTCTGTTTAGATTCTCCATTAACTCAGCACCCAAAATCTAAGTTTCTTTGTCCTGTCAATTCCTCCCAAATTTATATTCCTATGTCTAAAAAGTATTACAGCTGCCTGATCTGTTCTCTTCTTAGGTCCCATGTCCATGAGACCACCATGAATTAAAATGCGTTTCTTTTTCTCATGTTAATTTGTCTTGTGTCAGTTTTATTATTAGTCCAGTTGCAAGAACTCTAGATGGGTAGAGGGGGAAATTTCCCCTCCCCAACGTTACGCATAAAGTAACAGAGAGCGAAGTTGCATTAAACGAGCAATTAACTTACAGAAATTCATATGTATGTGTTTGGCAAAAAGATAAGGGGGAGAATCAAGGGAAGGAAGAGAGAGATGGAGAAGAGGGGATGAGAGAGAAGTGAAAATTTTTTAGATGGACGACTCCACCCATTTCTGCTTTCAATGTCTCAGACTGAGAGCGCGGTGGGAGAGGGACTGATAAGTTTAGGCAAAATCATAATGTTCTTATTTATACATAAGACTCTTGTTCAGAGCATGCATGACTACATGCTCTCAACTTTATGGACAGTTTAAGGGACCATCAAGGTGAATTTTGGATAGACATGAGTTTTTGCCTCTTACATGCTGACCTCATAACCTGGTCCTAAGTCAGAGAATGTGGGATTTCTCTCCCACACTTCGCACAGCCCCTGAAACATAGAAAGTGCCTGGTAAATGTTAGCTGCTATCATGATCGTGGCTGTGAAGATCATCAATGTCACCCTCCATGTGCGCTCCCCTACACAGATGCCCACTGGGGAAGTCCGATCTTCCTTCTCAGCTGAAGGAAGCGGAGCTCCCAAGCCAATCTTATCTGCAGACTGCAGGTGATGACGTTGATTTCCGACCTTGGAAGTGGCTCTGAAGCAACTGCTCCGAGCACTTAATTTCCTCCAATGGGGCCGTCAAAACTCCACAGCCAGCCTCCCTGTGCCAACCCTCGAGGTGGATCAGTGCCCCAAGAGGCACGTGCACTGCCACCAATAGATGCATTCATTTGCTGATTTAGATGGAAATAAACGTTTATGAATGAATTATGGGTGTGAGCCGTCTGCTTATGGATGAGGTGCAGCTGCAGCTGGGAAGTGGCTGAGGGATGTGGTCGCAAAACGATGTGGCAAACAGCTCTCGGGCACCCTTCCGCCACCCTGCTGATGAAATCTGATTCCCCCTACCACGGCCCTGCTCAAACGCTGGTCCCCCCAACCCCCCGGCTCCCCAGTGGGAATGACTCGCTCCTTCCTTGATCTCTGCTCAAGCTTCCAGACCTCACAGCCCTCAACAGTCTCCCCCTCTTCTTATTTTCATTTGCTTGAATCCGTTTTCCCCAAATGGCAGTGGGAGGGAGGCAGCTGGGGGCAGGAACAGCTGTTATTCTCCAGGTGTTACCAGGGTTCAGATCCTGCATCTGCTGATCACAGTCACTTCACTGAACTCCAGGTGATACCAGCTTTTTTGGAAGTGGGGATTGTCTTAGTCCATTCAGGCTGCTATAACAGACTGCCA